CCCTATTTTTCTTTTGGGGAAATAACCAAGGAGAGGAATTTCAGGGAGCTTAGAAGGAAAATCATAAAAGGAATCACTGATGATAATAACAACACTAATAGTAAAAGCTGACATTTACTTATTAACAGTTAAATATGTGAGGCCCTGAGCAAAGTACCGGAAACCTGAAAACCCTGTGAGAAACTGAATCTTTAGAAATGTTAAACAGTTTACTGGGGTTCACACACCTAGAGGTAGTAGAGATCCCAACCTCAGTGATCCAAAGTCAGAACCTGCACTGTCTGACACCCTCCCTCAAACATTCCAGTTTGAATGTTTCAGTTCCTATTATTTACTTACTACCTTCCAATACCCACATCCAACAATATCTACTTTGTCATTTCATCTCTTCCCTTAGAACATGGCAGTGGAATATTATGCAAATATAGATTTCTGGAGGATAACTCCTGACTATGCTGCAAGAGCCAGCTGAAATGATACCTCCTCCAGGCAGCTTTCATGGATGCCTACAGGCTGGTTAGGTGCCCTCCCCAAGGTTCCTAGAAGCACATTTAGATTTCAGTTTCTGCTAGTCTATGAGCTTCCTGAGGGTAGAGACAGTCTCTCATTCCTCTTTGTATCTCAAGCACATAGCACAGAGCTCAGCACAAGGGGGGTACTTAATAAACATTTGATGAATGAATAAAGGGAAATTGTCTTTCCTAAGGTACAGGGCCTCGACTAAACACATTTTAAAGAATGAAGATATTTCCTTATTCATCTTAAAAATATAAATTTATTCTACTTGTGCTCTAAAAACATGCAACAATCTCTCTGGAGATTCATATTTTTCTGATTGATGTATAAGTCTGTTTCAAAATTGCTAAGGCGTCATAGGATAAGTGTGATTGCACATAGGGTCCTGTGACCTTTCTCAGCTCAGCACTTTCTGGACCTGCAGAGGTCTGTTGCCTCATGGCTCCAGTCTAACTACGTGTATTTCATCCAGTTATAAGGAATGTTTTGTTTTGTCCTGTGCCCAAGCACTGCTCTCCCTGTTGTGATAGCATGGCCACCAGATGTTGCCTCCTCTGTGGGTGGCCACCCTGGGAAACTCTATGAATTTTTGCAAACTGATGTGTTTATCCTGAAAGCAGCATTTTGGCATCTTTTTATTCCCTCTGTCCCTCCAAAAAACTTTCATAGGAATGCCCTTTAAGAAAAATGTGACAAATCTAGGCACAGAAACAATTCCACCTGTTCAAGGTTGACACTGTAGAGCCTTGGTCATTAAAGGTAATGAACCCATCTTGCCTTCTCAGCACAGAGATATCTCAGTCACCCAGCTCCCATGGAGTCATGCCATGTTTCCTACACCAAAGAGTTGATGAAACTATTCCTCTCCTGAAAAAAGAAAAACCACATACACTCAGGAACACAGTTCTTTTTAATTTGCCCCAGATGGGATTTGTTAATATTCCTCCTCCCATTTCATAATAAATCCTTATAATTAAATAACAAATTCTTGTTATTCTTTTACATGCAGAAGCCAGAAGAAGGTTTTCTCAGCATAGAAAACTGGGAGAGGTGAGAGCTGAGAGAACAGGGAAGAGCAAGGTGGTAGTTTTTTCACACTTAGATGAGTAGGAAGGTCACATTCCAAGTGGACAAAGCAGAGCTTGTCTAAGGAATCTCACTAATCCTAGGTTTCTGCTCTTTGGAGAGAATAAAAGGCCACAGGGGCTTCAGTAAGACAGATCTTGGTTTGAACCCTGTCTCTGCATCCTAGCAGTTGTGTGATGATTAGCAAATTATCTAACCTCTCTGTCAGGTTCTAACTGAGATATGAGGGAAGTTGGTGGGCAAGTGGCAGGTAGCTGGAAAACCACTTGAGGAAATGCAAACAGTTTTGACATGGCTTTACTCTCTCTCTCTGGGCGCAAATGAGCCTGGGCACAAGCTGTATGTACAGTGTCAGCAGGGTAGTTATACATTTTACAGATAATAGTGGTTCTGAGCCAAGCAGGAGCTCACATAGGTGATCACCTAATGCACCTCACGTGGTGTGGTTACATAATGTGCAGAGTTGTGCACCTGCACTCCAAATCCGCTGAGTCATGCTGCACCAGAAGGCCACCTCAGCCTACTCCTGACTAAAGCACAACCATTTCCCTTATAAACTTCAGTTTGCTGTAAAATGAGAATAATTCTTCCTACATGGCAGGATTGTTGTAAACATTAAATGAGAAATCTGTTAAGCCCTGGACACAGTACCCGGAACATAGCAAGTAGCTATAATTAATAATTGCATGTAATAAGAGCTGTTATTATTGTTGTTTATAGAGACTAGTACTATATAATGAGGGAGATGCATGATGCAAACTTGTATTGAGGACACACAGACCAAAACACTTTTTCATCCATGATCTTAACACGGTATCTATCCTCCCTCACTATAAAGCCATTCTGTAAGGGTCATCTGGAAACACATGTTTGACAGGATTAAGGGATTATGACAATGAGGTAGACAGATAAAGCAAGAGCTATCTTACACATTATGAAGCATTTGTTAAGGGGAGAAAACCCATTAACAACCAAGGTCCCATTGCATAAAGTCAGCTGCTGACAGAATCAGACAGAGGAAAGAGAAGTGTTGATAAGGAAAGAGGAAATGTATAGTCTAAGGAATAGATGATACTGCAAGAGAGAATCCCTGGAGATCAGATCACCCATAGAGCATAAAATAGGAAGGATGGAAAGGTTCTAAAAGAGGGATAGGAAAGGAGGACCAAAGTCCAACTTTGCCAGTTTCATAATTTTGCATTAGGTAAGGACTAAAGAAGAAACAAATATTTTTTAAATTGATGCCATTTTAAAGATTCCTATTGAATGATCTGGTTGTGTGAAAATTCATGAGTAATCATGAATCTTTATCCTCCATTTAATTTAAGACTTAAGTCAGGCTGGGTGTAATAAAGAAATACAGGAAATGGTAAACCCCTGTAATCAAGCAGGGTAAAGTCCTTATGAGCAGTGACTATTTTACTTCACCCTGGTTCAGGCAATTTCTGGCAGTGCAGCTTTGGACCTTGCCCCAGGTTTATTCCTCAGCTCAGGAGTTAAAGGCTACGCTGCTGCATGGGGAATTGCCAAAGGCAGAGAAAACCCCAAGTCCTGGGCCTGAACAAGTCATTATCCAGCAATATGCATTAAGTGTCCACAGTCTATTCAAGACAAAAGACTTGCTCCAAGTCAATAAAACCGGGCTAATGGACAAAAGCCACAGGGAGACAACTCTAAATTCAATAACAGAAAAGATTTCTCACACTTAGAGCTGTTCAAAGGTTAGAATATAAAGTAGTAAGATCCCCATCACCCACTGTATTTTAAGCAGAGTCTGGCTTGTAGAAATTCAAATATTAAAGAGGAAACGAGACTCAATGAGTTTAAAGTTCACTTCCAATCTTCTAGTCCTATAAAGGAGAAGGTATGACCTCCACCTATAATGAACTTACAGTTTCACCAAGATAAGACAAATTGTGAACATAATAGCAGATCCAAAGCAACATAAAATGAGCCAAATTAATGGTTCAAAAACTGCATAACAATTCCAAAATGCAGCACTCTAGAGAATATTCAAGAAAAACCTGAAATTTTTAATCCCTTTGCATAAGTAATAATTGCTTCCTGGTAATAAGAGAAATATGAAGAATACAGATTATTTAGAGCCAGAGGAATTGGTAGACAGACTCTCATTCTGTCCCATTTTGTTCCTGCATAAATGTAGTACAGAACGTGATGCCTGACAATGAAAAATAACCTCAAATAGGCTGGGTATGGTGGCTCATGCCTGTAACCCCAGCACTTTGGGAGGCCAAGGAGGGTGGATTACTTGAGGTCATGAGTTTGAGACCAGCATGGCCAACATGGCAAAACGCTGTCTCTACTAAAAATACAAAAATTAGCCGGGTGTGGTGGCATACACCTGTAATCCCAGCTACTCAGGAGGCTGAGGCATGAGAATCTCTTGAACTGGGAGCCAGAAGCTGCAGTGAGTGAGCCAAGATGTCACCATTGCACAACAGCCTGGGCAACAGAGCAAGAGGGGAAGGAAGAGAAAGAGGGAAGGGAGGGGAGGGGAGGGAAGGGAAGGGAGGGGAAGGAAAGGTAAGGGAGGGGAGATGGGAGAGGAGCGGAGGGGAGGAAAAGGAAGGGAAAGAAAGGGAGGGGAGATGGGGAGGGGAGGGGGAGAATGAAGTGGGGGAGGGGAGGGGAGAAGGGAATGAGAAAAGAAGGGAAGAGAAGGGAAGGGGAGGGGAGGGGAGGGGAGGAGGGGTAGGCTGAGGCAAGGTGAGATGAGGCAGCTCAAATAAACAGTTGCTTTGCAATCTCATGAGAAAAACCAGATCTGCCTGAAGTGTTAATTCAGAAGACGGAATCTGTGACCTCATGATTTTTCATGTGCTTTGCAATCATTATTTATTCATTCTTCATTTCCGACAGATTGGAGGATTGGATCATAAAATGTATTCCTCATCCTACTAACATCCTGCATCGGCTTGAAACAGGAAACGCAAGACATAAAAATTATTTAAGGCCTTGCTACTCAGTGTGGTCCAAAGACCAGCCACACTGGATCACCTGGGAATGGTTTAGCAATGCTGAATCTCAGCTCTTCTATCCACCGACCTCACTCCCAGACCTACTGAATCAGAATCTGCATTTTGACAAGAACTCCAGTGATTTCCATGTACACTAAAATGTGAGAAGTCCTAAACTGGGTGACAATGATTCTGCTGCCCGCCTCCAGATCTTCCCCACCTGATATGGGTTGGATGCTTGTCCCCTCCAGATCACATGTTGAAATGTGGCCTCCAATGTTGGAGGTGGGCCTAGTGGGAGATGGTTGAGTCATGGAGGTGGATGCCTCATGAATGACTTGCTGCTGCTGTCCTTGCAGTAATGAGTGAGTTTTCTATGAGTTCACAAGAGAGCTGGTTTAGCACCCAGTGTTGGCTTACCCAGTCTTGGATATTCCTTTACGGCAGCATAAAGGGACTTATACACCACTTGAAAGCTTTAAGAAGAAACAGCCTCTGGAAAACAAAAAGAGGAGAAAATTGCTTGGTCTATAATCATTGATGGAATCATTGATCAATCAGTTTGTCTTGTTCTAGAAAATTTCCTATTGCTAACATGGTACAGCCATTCTTTACATGGGCTAGTAGAACCTCTGGCTTGTTCTGACTCAAGTCAGCTGATTAATCTTGGATAGTTTTCAGACTTCAGGGGAAGGAGAGGAAAGCCTTAAACAAGTGCATTGACACACACAAAAAAGGCAGCTGTTTTTCATAAACTGCATTGAACAAGCCTAGCAGGGCTTCATTCATCCTTTATAACCTTCAATCTCCTGCCTTTGTCAACAGAGAGAAATCCTTTCCTGCTGGGATGACTTTGGAGACACCAATAGCTGCAGTGCAAGCTAGAGCTTGAATGTGGTAGTAAAAGAGAGCTTATCAAAACTCCACGTATAAGAAATATACAAAACGAATATAAAGTATTTCCAAAACTACTTCCTGAATTCAAAAAGGCCATTGTCTGTAGGAAACACCATAGATTTAATAACAGTTTTTCAGGAGGGGTAGTCAATCCTTCTTTAAATGAGACACAGACACGTTCCTGTTTTTAAAAAGTTACATTGAGGAGGGCAGGGTTTATGGGAGAATATCTTAGAATCAAGGAAACTTGGCAGATCAGCGCTTGACAATTTCATTGGCCAGTTTTGCTAACGAACATTAGCAATTAAGTTTTTACATTGATTCTTGCAAATGTATATAAAAAATGATGTTTACTGTTTTTTGGCAAGCATTTGTTGTACTGCAGAATGAAAACACAACCTGAAGGGCCATAAGGAGATATATCAAGACTCCACTTCTCCAAATACACTTGGTTTGAAAATCAGATAAATCTAGGAGCTTTGTGCTCCCGCAAAACATTGTCTTTCATGATCTGGGGCATGAGTCTAAACTCTTAATGTCCCATATTTGATGAGGGATGCCCACCAGACCATGAGTGTATACATGTGGAGTACACGGGATAGGGTATTGGTTAGAATCAGAGAGAAAAACTGAGGCCCCAAAGGGGGACAAATGTTGTCTCCAAAATACACAATGTGTCAATGACATTCTGATTCCCTAAAATACAAGTCCAGTTGTTTCTTTTTAAAGATGGAGTCTCATTCTGTCACCCAGGCTGCAGTGCAGTGATGCGATCTTGGCTCACTGCAATCTCCACCTTCCAGGTTCAAGCGATTCTACTGCCTTGGCCTCCCAAGGAGCTGGGATTGCAGGGGCACACCACCACGCCCAGCTAATTTTTGTATTTTCAGTAGAGACAAGGTTTCACCAGCTTGGCTAAGCTGGTCTCAAACTCCTGACCCAAAGTAATCCACCTGCCTCAGCCTCCCAAAGTTCTGGGATTACAAATATGCACCACCACCCAGCCTAAGTTCAGTATCTTTCATTCTATCCTACCTCCTCCTTCAGACCATCCTGAGGTCCTCTGATGTAACAGTCAAGCTCTTTTAAATGAGTAAGATTCCTCTCACTCCAGCTCTAGCATAAGGAAAACATACCAGTTAAGAACTTCAGAAGGTGCCAATAGGACATCTAAAGCCAACGTTTGACAATGTACGTCCCCCATCCTGTCTGGATACAAAAATCCTCTAACAGCATTGCCATGTGCCACAGAATTTACAATGGATTATTCTTGCTAGTGGAAAATTACTTTTTTCCTATGGCCTTCTGGGAAGTTGTGTTTTCTACTTTCTTTTTCTTGCTGTTAAATTGATTCTACATATACATTAGGAATTTCCACAGGCCAAATTTATCATAAATTTAAAAGGAAGAATCCTGTGGGTTAATGGGTGGGAAAATCTGTGTCACAAGGAACTGTGGTCATACTTGCTTTTATAGACCTTTCTCTGAATTTTCTAAAAAATCTATGTGGATATTTATAAGATGCAAGTTTTTTAAAGAATTAATTCCTCATAGAAGCTTCAAGTTTTCAAGAATAAGCATCATTGGCTTATTCTTCCCCTGAATGCTAAAGCTCCCTCTAGTGACCAAGAACATACACCAACTACAGGTACGACAGTAAACGTGATCTAAAGCCTCTTGCTTTTAGATAATGCCTTGAAGTTTCAATAACATTTTCACATACATCTGATCATTTAAAACAAAGCCTCATGAAGTGTGGAAATATGGTTTCCTCCATTGAAAAGGTAGGTAAACTGAAGCTGAAATGGGACCAAGACTTGTGCAAGGTCACATGGCTGGTAACCAGGAAACTAGAGCTGAAGATCAGATCTGCTGATTCCTAGGCCCTGTTGTCTGTTGCACTGCCTCATATTCTATAAAAATTACATAAAGTCATTGTCACAGTCCATTTTCTATGGCTTATAGCAGAATAACTGAAATTGGGTAATTTATTTTAAAAAAGAATTTATTTCTTACAGTTATGAAGGCTAAAAAGTCCAAGTTTGAGGGGCCATATCTGGTGAGAGCCTTCTTACTGGTGGGGACTCTCTGCAGAGTCCCAGGGTGGCACAGGGCATCACATGACAGGGAGGGCTGAGAGGGCTAGCTCCAGTCTCTATTCATCTTCTTATAAAGCCACCAGTCCCACTCCCATGATAACCCATTAACCCACTAATTCATTAATCTATGAATGGATTAATCCATTCATGATGGCAGAGCCCTCATGATCCAATCACCTTTTAATGACCCTATCTCACAAAATTGCCACATCAGGGATCAAAGTTCAAAGGAGTTTTGGAGGAGATATTCACACCATAGCAATTATCCATGAATATTCTCATAAATGCTACTATCCTTTCTACCTTCATGAAATCACTTTCAAGGAATTTGTAGAAGTGATTCTTGACTTTTAAGGGATCCCTTTAGAAATTAGACGAGAGTTATGAGGCCATACTTACAAATGTTTGCATACGATATCAGGAAATCTATGAACCACATTGAAGGGCGTCCACTGATCCTCCAGGACTCCAAGGACCCCAAGTTAAGAACTCATCAACATCTACTGGTTACAATCTTGAGATCTCAAGAACCTAACGAAGATGAACTTTGTAGCCTTCTTTCCCTTAATTATGGTGTTTTCCATGCTTACCCAGTTCTCCCTTCAGCTCATTATTCAGAGTATGTTCAAAGAATGAACAAATCAGTGTATATTTACAAACATTTAAGAAAAAGTCAGTGGATATTGCCATCAAGGAAGGCATTCTAGCATTCCCACAGGCATGCCTAGGATTAGTAGCAAATTGAGATGTTTCTAGGAAAGTAGCAATTTGAAAGCCTTTTTCCAAATGTAGGAGCATACCACAGCCTCACTGGCTAGCTCTGTGAAGAGCCTAAACAAGCAACACAGTGAATATAGGAAGGGCTTATTTCAGTGAACAAAATCTAGCACTGACTCTAAATTCTTAGCTCTTTTCATCCTGGCATTTTCAATAGCTTTGGAAAAGCAGGAATGAACAGTTACTAATTCACTAATTAACAGGAGTCTCTTCCAGGTAAGTTCCATGAGGGTAGGGAGCATGTCTGTATTGTTCATTCAAATTCTGGACACCCAACACCACCCCTGGCACTAGCGCACACTCAACAAATATTTAGTGAATGAATATGTGAATGGTCCTCATTGAGTCAGCCCTCTGGGAACCTGCTCATTTCCCTCTAATTAATCAATGACCTCTGGTTATCTGGGATGTTCCCCTAGAACCCTACAGACAACCTCAGTTTCTGGATACTGGGCCACTCTGATAAAAAGTTCTGTTCTTTTTACTCAGTGATCCATTCCTGCAGTCTAGATTGGGTAACAAACCAACCTAAGCAATAATAATAGCTTCCTACCTTAAACCTCCCAGAAACGGTATTACAGTTTTAAAGTGATATTTTTAAATTTGAGTAAAAATGCAAGATTCTAATGACTAGAAGAACATCTCTGTATCAAGGCAGACTTCTAATGGTTTCTCTGAGTTAGGAAATTTCTTTTGGATCTTCTTAGGCACTGTCTACTCATCATGCCTTTCCATGTATCTGAGCTTCTATCATACAACTTTCCTGAGTTTCTCATAGACTCTGCCCACCTAGTGAAATGTCACCTCAAAAATGTCCTCTCCAGCTCCCTTGGTTGGCAACTCTCACTTGTTTCCATAGCAGAGTTCATACCTTTATGACTGTACTATGATGCTGTCAGTGATTATACATATATATTTTCCCCCATATTGCAGTAAATCCAACAAGAGGAGCAGGAGCTACTGAATTCAAGAATGAACTATACCTCTCATTCTCCAGTTTATTTTGTTTATCTTGATTGCAAATTCAATTTTCCATTTTGGTTCTGGCAGATCCAATTTTGTTTAGCAGTTACTGGCAATTGGGCTATGAAGGCACAGGGGTTTCTCAAAGAAAAACTGAGGTCTAAGTCACTGCAAAGCTGTGCTTTTAGGTGCAGTTGGGTCTTCACCACCACTCACCAGACTTTTCACCCATAGTGCTTCTCTTTTCACAATCCTGTTGGTTATCTTATTTAAATCAAAATTTCCCAAATTTTAGGAGTTTTGAGTTCCACCTTCAGGATTTTTGCCATATTAAAGTAGCACCTGAACTAATATTTACTGAATAGCTTTATCTCAACTTTTAAACATCACTTTTGCTTTGTAAGTACTGTAACATCCATGAAATATTAATTTTGACATGCCACTTTTCACAAATATACATTACACAAAAACTATTAAAATGAAAAAAATGCATTAAAATCTCGTAACTGTTAAGTTAAAAACAACTTTTCCCGGGTAGCCACGAAAATCACCTCCAAGTATTATCCACGGCAGACCTGCTCCACTTTGTGAAATACTCTTTAAAGCCCCCACTACTGCCGCGCGCGGTGGCTCAAGCCTGTAATCCCAGCACTTTGGGAGGCCGAGGCGGATGGATCACGAGGTCGAGATCGAGACCATCCTGGTCAACATGGTGAAACCCCGTCTCTATTAAAAATACAAAAAATTAGCTGGGCATGG